AATTGTAAGTGTTAGTTTTATGTGTAAAGACAATTGCTAAGAACTCATGAATAGTTAAACAGAGAAATAAACTAAAAATTGAGAGAGTGCTTTAGCTATATACTCTTAGGGAAAATGATATATCTTTGAAAGAGCAAATATTTATAAAATGCACACATATAGGTATAATAATATAGATTAGATTATATTCCAATTATAATTTAGAATTGTTAATAGTTTGGTATAATATTCATTGCATTCAAAATAAACTTACAAATTGAATTTATTTGATAGTTATTTTTCTTTTAGAACACAAGGATTTCAAAAACAAAAAAAATCCTATTTGAAAATATTAATACTTCAAATCTAATGAGGATTAATTAAAAACAAAATGTCAGTTTTGCAGCCGGGCACGGTGGCTCATGCCTGTAATCCCAGCACTCTGGGAGATAGAGGTGTGAGGATCGCCTGAGGTCAGCAGTTCGAGACCAGCCTGAAAAAAAGGGAGACCCTGTCTCTACACAAAGTATAAAAAAGTAGCTGGGCAACTAAAAACAGAAAAATTAGCCAGGTGTGGTGGCATGCACCTGTAAGTCTCAGCTACTTCGTAGGCTGAGGCAGGAGAATCGCCTGAGCCCAGGAGTTTGAGGTTGCTGTGAGCTAGGCTGACACCATGGTACTGTAGCCCAGGTGACAAAGTGAGAATCTGTCAAAGAAAAAAAAAAAAAAGAGTCAACTTTGCAATTTAAAAATTACATAAAGGCAAATCCCCAAACCAAAATATATTCTTTCATTGCAGACATAATGAAGAATGTAAACAGTATAAAGAGAGAAAAAGAACAGGAAGTTAGGAAAACTGAAGTACTCCAAGCACATTTTATTCTCAATAACATAACTTTAAGAATTTTTGCTTCAGGTAATTCTAACCAGGTAATTAAATTAAACCTACTGGGAATGGTCAGAAGATCTGGACAAAATATCAGAACCTTCTGTTTCAAGACACAGAGGGCAGCTATGGCAGCGTGGGGACAGGGCCACCGCCAGGGAGCGGAGCCACAGAGCACTGAGCCGCCCGTGTAGCCTTTGCTCCAGAGACACCGTGGATTTGAGAAGAGGCAGTTGACAGGCCAGGGCCACAAAAGCAAAGGACCCCAATAAACCACACAGGCCTTTTGTGGGACCCCAAAGGACTACACCTTATGAGTAAGGATGGCCAAGAACAAACTGCCCCTCAGAAGGCCCGACACCCAACTCCAAATGAGCTCAAAGCGTGACTAGATTAAAACGATTAAGGAGTTTTCGTGCCTCTGGTCAACTACAAGAAGCAAAACAAGATGCGTATAAGGGAACATATCACCATTCCAGATTCCACGGCATCCCTATAGCTTGTTGTACATACAGCCAGATGCGCAACCCGAAACATCCAGGTGTACGGGGACACAACTTGACGAAAAGAAACCGAGAGAAACGATAGGAAAAATCTAGCCAAAGCCTCAGATAATGGTCTTTTCACAGACTCTAAAGTAATTCTGCTATTGCAGAGAAAAAATAAGATTGAGAAATTCTGTGGGAAACTAAGAAAAAAGAGCCAGATGAAAATTTTAGAACTGAAAATCAAATAAATTTTAAGATCCAATATATGAGTTTAAAAGCTGATCATTTTGCGGGTTAAGTGCAAATTACTAAAGTGGATGACAGATCAGAAGAAAACAGCCCAGACCTAAGAAAAGAGAAACAAAAGAACATACACACACAGAAAAAGAACCTAAGAAATGCAGAAGACACGGAGAAGTAATCTAACACACGTGGTACTGAAGTCCCAGAGAGATTAAATGGAGAGGGTGCAATTTGCGGAAATGAAAGTTAAGAATAATGAGCTCTAAGAATTCACAAAAGTATTAAGAAAAGATTTAAGAACTATGAATTACAAGCAGAATAAATGAAAACAAAAGAGGCCACAAACACTTCAGAATTAAACTTTAAAACACCAAAGACAAAGAGAAAATTGTAAAAGTAGCCAGAGAAAAGATTATCTCCAACAAAGGAACAACAGAGCTGACAGCTAATTTTTGGAGATTAACAATGGAAGTCAGAAGATAATGGAACGGTATCTTCAAGGTGCTGAAAGAAAATACACGCAAACCTCGAATTCTCCACTCAGTAAAAATAACCTTCAAAGATTAATGTAAAATCACATCTTAGACAAAAATGGAAAGGATTCATCACCATTAGACCTGCATTAAAGCGAATATTGAAAGAACACCATAGATGAAGGTTCAAACATACAGAAATGAATAAAAACTGGCAAGGGTAGATGTTTGAGTAAATTCTGGCTGTATAAAATAATAATAACAATGTCTTCTGAGTTTTAAATGTAAGTATAAATACAGGTCAAAATAGTATATAAGTTGGGAGTTAAAGTATTTCAAGACCCTTGCACTGTCTGGGAATAGGCAAAGGCACTGATTCGGATTAGACTCTGATGGCTTGAAGACGGCTGTTGCAGTCCAAGGCTGCTCGGTAGAGGAATGGTAAACAGTGATTAACTACCACGCTGGCAGAAAAGAAAAAAAATCAGTATAAAAAAATCTAAATAAAGAAAAGCAAGAAAAGGCAATCAGAATAGTTGGGGTAATTAGAATTCACATTGTAGAATGATGGAATAAAGCACATACATGTTGATAATTACATTAAACATAAGCAGAACATACCAACATTGTCAGACTACACATCAAAACTGTGGGATGCAGTTAAGGTTGCATTTGGAAGGAAATTTGTAGCTGTAAATGCATGTGTTGGAAGAGAAGTTGGAATCAACGATCTAGGTATCTCTCTAATAAAGCCAGAAAGGGAACCACAAATTAAACCCAAAGAAAATAGAAGATAAAACAATAAAAATAGTAGAAATTAATGAAACAGATATTCAACAGACAACTTTCATAAATCCAAAAGCTAGTTCTTTGAAAAGACCGATAAAATTGACACGCCTCTGGAGAGACGGACCCAGAAAACCAAGAGCAAAGCAAAACAATAACAGAAAAAGAGACAGCACAAATAATCAATTAAACCGTCACGGAGATATTGCCAGAGTCTCTATTTTGTGGTCCTGTAAGCATTATATGTGTTTTATAAATATTTCCTTTTATCTACTCAATATTAATTGGTGGGAATGTAATGTAAATTAATACGATCTCTCTGGAAAGCAGTATGGAGTTTCTCAAAGAACTAAACACAGACGTACCATCCGATCCAGCAACCCCCTGCTGGGCATCTCCCCAAAGCAAGAGAAATCCTCACATGGAAGACGCCTGCGCGTGTATGTTCATCACGGCGCCACTCGCAAAGACACGGAATCAGCCTAAGCTTCCCCCGGTGAATGAGTGGATAAAGAACATGTGTACACACATACCATGGAGTACCACTCAGCCATAAAAAGAATGAAATAACGTTCCCTGCAGCACCCTGGAGGAACTGAAGGCCATCGTCCTAAGCGAAGTATCTCAGGAACAGAAAATCAAATGCCACATGTTCTCGCTTGTAAGTGGGAGCTAAACAGCGGGTACAAACGGACACACAGAGTACAGTGGAGACACTGGCCACTCCAGGAGGTGGGTGGGGAGGGACGTGAGGGGTGACAAGTCACCTACTGGGTACAATGTGCACCGTTTGGGTGATGGGTACGCTGAAGGTCCAGACTTCACCTCTACACGATATAGACACATAACAAAACTTTCACTTGTACCCTCAAAATCTATAAAAAATAAAAAATACATTAAAAAATAATATTAAAGGGTGAAGATTTCAAAAACCTTTTAGAATACAATGAAAATACTAAGAAATACTGCAGGTCACAGATAAACTATTGTCATTAAATCGCACGGCACGTCCTTCCCCCGCGCCCACATCGGGGGCTTCCGCGGTATGAAAAGATGCCAACGACAGCCTCGTTGCGTCTCTGCGAGGAGGCCTATGCACCGAAGCCCGGGCCGCCATCAGTCTGCAGAGCAGGGGCCTCCAGCGACACGGCCCGGCTCCCCCCTGCGACGGAGGAGGTGTGCAGACGCTTCTCTTCTTATTGACGAGCATTAGAAGAGTAAGCTGCCCCCCACTCCTTCGCAGGGATCCTGTCACCCGCGGGAAATGCATGCCTTGCCTTATTTCCAGTATTCCCGCGGCACGAGTGAGTTCCACGGAGCCTGCACTCTGCTCCGGTGATTAGGCCCTGGGCGTGTCACTTAAAATAACAGGTTATCAACGGAAAGAACACAAATACACACCAGGCCCAGGGTTCCGGTAAGTCAAAATCTGGGGGTGATGCTGGGAGCAGACTCCCCATGCTGGAGCCGGCACCCGTGGGGACACGCCGGCTCCGGCAGCACTGTGACCGTCCACTGGGAGATGCGTCACTCTGATTTTTCACATGAGGAATCAGTAAGTAGAACAGTCACCTGGCTAGTATCGAGTTCCAGCTTCCCTTAGAAGAAAACAGACCACAGCCATGCCGGCCTTCAGATGCACAAGCACAGCCAACACATGAGGCAAAAACTAGGGTCAGGAGAGCAAACGCGGTGTAGCTTCTGTCCCTTCAGCCACGGGTTGTCTTGCAAGCTGACACCTGCTTTTACAGCACTTACAAAATGCTCCCAGAAGAAAGTACTTTGAAACCTTTAGGGCAGAACCCACAGATGAAAATGCGCTATGCATCTGGTGTGGTTTATGGTTTTTAATACTTTTAAGTCTACGAGGAGTACTGCCAAACAGTCTCCAAAACAGCTGCATGCCCCTGGCTTTGGCAGTACTGAATCCTGCAACCCCGGATAAAGATAAAGCCACGGACTCCGGTTCACCTCTAAAGCTGAACATGGGGGACCTGAAACACAGAAACAGAGTGACACTGACTGTCCCTACTGGGGGCGGGTGCCACCCCTGGCCTGCTTCTGGTGAACCCAGCACAGGCGACTAGGCGAGAGCCACTGTGGCCAGGCCGCACCGCCCGGCCCCCGCGCCCGCCCCGCACTCACTCTCTTTGCCCTTCTCCTTGTTCTTCAGCTGCTGCAGCTTCTGCTCCCGGTGCTGCTTCTCCAGCTCCTGCTCCTGGCGGTGCCGCTCCAGCTTCCGCTGGTGCTCCAGCAGCTCCTGCTGGTGCTTCATGGCCAGCATCTCCTGCTGTTGCTGCGGGAGAGAGACAGATGTCAGAACTCAGACTCCAGACAGGCGACCCCACGGATGCCAGGAAACCAGCCCGGGCCCCGCACGTCTGCCCTGTGCCACCACGGACCCCACTCTTGTCTTCATGGCCCAGTTTCGGCCCAGAAGAAAAATAGGCACTGCCTGAGACCCTAAATGTCCTCTAACCTCTTAAGTGGTAAACATGAAAGTAAAAGCCCTTGAAGTGCTAGAAGAAAACATGCACTGACAGCTGAGTAATCTTGCGAGCTGGCAATGCCTTTCTGAGAATGGCACGAAAGACAGTGTGACACGGTACCCCCACTTGGGAAGCTGCCTGGCACTTTCTCGCAAAGTTAAACACACATTTGCCGTAGGACGGAGCAGCCCCATCCCTAGCTACCTGTCCAAGTGCCGCGGGAGCACATCGCAGACACCTATACAAGGAAGCACATGGCTACTTTAGGCACAGCCCAGCCTGGACGCCACCCGTGTCCCTCAACGGCGAGCACATGGACAGTCCATGTGCACAGGAGAATCACACAGGAGAACACTACCCAGCCATAAGATAAACGTGGATATACGAGGAAACAGTGATGGATCACCAACAGGCAAACACACGGGTGTTGGCACAAGGCGTGTGGGAGAGAGCAGAGCAGAGTCGACACTGGAAGGCCATGTGGCTGGCTGGCCCTCCCAGCCCCTGGGTTCCGATCCTTGGTCAAATCAGTGGACGTGGAACCCAAAACACAAAGGGCTGACTGTATTTATATCGAGTTATAGAACAGGAAAAACTAATGTACAACGATGACAACCAGAAGAAGGCTGCCTCTCGGGGTGAGGCAGGAGACTCAGGCAGGAGGGAATGCTCCAGGTGCTGAACTTTCTGCCCTGTGCAGCTGGAGTTTGCAGGGAGCCCACAGCTGTCAAAACACCCCAACGGCACACTCGAGAGCTGCGCATTCTGTTGTGCATAAATTACGTCTCGTATTTCAAAAAATGACAGAGTTGACTACATTAAAATTTTTGTCTTTATTTAAATAAAAATTAAAATGCAAAAGGTAAATGAGGAACACTCTTTGTCATGTTAATGACATGCAAGTAAACTACAGGTAAACGGTTACCAACTACTAAGAACATGGTAAGCAGTCCACTGGAAAAGGGGGGCCGGAGAGAACAGGACCGGCCTGGGCAACACAGCAAGACCCGTTCCTACAAAACATTAAAATATTAGCCAGGCGGGGTGGCACCTGCCTGTAGTCCCAGCTGCTCGGGAGCTGGAGGCAGGTGGATCACCTGAGCCCAGGAGTTCGAGGCTGCAGTGAGCCGTGACAGTGCCACTGCACTCCAGCCTGGGTGACAGAGCAAGACCCTGTCTCTCTTAAAGAAAAAAAAATCAACGGGGAAAAATGTTCAACCTCAACACTAGCAACCAAATCCCATTTTCACTCTGTACTCGGCCCAGCGCTGACAAGAGTGTGGGCACGGTCCGGTTAACCAGCACCCCCGGGGGGCAGCCACCAGCACCCATCGACTTTCTCAGGATTGGGCGTAGGCTCGTGGTCCCCGTGCGTGTTCTCGTCCTCCCTCCCGGGGCTCCGGCTCCCACACAGCCCTGGCCAGCACGGAGGAGCGCGGGCCCAGCACGGAGGAGCGCGGGCTCAGTACGAGCCGCCCGCCTGCGAGAGCCTCCCCGCACCTCCCAGGGCAGGCTGGGCGCCGCTCCGCCTCGGCCCCTCCGCTGTCCCTGGAGCTCACACATTGCCAGTCCCATCTCCTGTGGGCTGTTTATAGCGGTCTTGCTCGCTTTGTGGAAGGAAGAGGGGTGGGGGCAGAAAGCGGGGTAAGCTGGCAACCAGAGTGGCCCCCAGAAGCTTCCGCGGGAAGCGAAGCACACAGGCGGGCTCGGAGTGGGGCTTCCGCCACCGGCAGTGCTGCCTGTGGGTGAGGCTCAGGCCACGGAGAGGATAAGCCGGGGGCAGCGGGTGAGCGTGCGAGACAGACCTCACCCCGGGCCCCAGTGTGACTGCCTGGGCACGTCGGACTGACGCCCACGGGGCGGTGCGGCACCTCGCGCTCTCGTCTGTGCTCTCCGGGGTTCTCTGATGTACGCGCCTCACTTCAGAGCAACAGGCTGTAACTAAGGAAATAAAAGTGGACCAAAGGTAAAGAAAGAAAAACAGACTGAAAGGATCAGGAAACGCAGGACGGCCTGCGCAGTGTGGGCCGGCGGGGCCACTACCTGAGGCCCCCACGAGACGGGCTGGGGGAGGCGGCCCCAGGTCTCGGCTGAACCGCCCGCTGCTGCCAACAGTCGCCACCGTGAAGAGGCAGGAGCGCCGGCTTGCGTGTGCACCCGTGTGTGCGAGAGCGTGCCACGGAACCGCCCCTCTCTGTGGGCACGGACCCTCACGCTGACGCTGACAAGGCCGTGAGAGTGGGCGGCGTGCACCCAGGAACATCTCCAAGTTTCTGCTGGGCCCTTCTTCGGAGGAGGGGCCTGAGCGACCAGCGGGTTCTGTGCCCCCTGCTGCGCCCACCGCACCAGCTCCAGGTGGCTACCGCGGCCCTCCCCGCGGAGAGGCTGGTGGTCCAGCCCCTGCTTCCAGAGCGGTCTGGGCCACAAGGCAGGCCTGGCCGGGGAACGTCCCTGGCTCAGGTCTGCAGGGGATGAGCAGTGGCCCCAGCAGCGGCTTCAATCCGCCTCCTGGGCCTCGCGTCCCGGATCTGTCTGCTGTCCCAGTGCTGAGTCACCACCCATCTCCAGCATCAGCGGCTCGTAAATGAGGAATCGGAGCACAGGCTGCTCAGAGCCTCTTCCTAATAAAGATGCCACATGCCCCTCACCCATCACGTCTGCGGCTTGTGTGAAATCCAAATCGCGTCACCACAACGTTAAAGAAACGTAACATCGGCCGTGTAATTTTATAAGGTACAAATTCTCACTCTTCCGTTCGCTCAATAAAGCCTACAGCCCGGTCATGGGAACAAAGGTTCACGCCGGCGGAACCACATGCAGCTCAACTTAGAAGAAACCGCCAACAACCACGGACAAGCAAAGCAAACGCGACTGCCGGCTCACAAAGGCCCCACGCGTGCGCAAGGACGTGCCGGCGGGCCCCAGCGGCCAGCCAGAGGGAGGATCCCGGACACCCCGCCCTCGGCTGTGACACCTTCGACAGACAGCTCTAGAGGGAGGCTGAGCACTGCAGCTCCAGCCTATCCCGCCATGGCGGCTGTGCCACCGTGGCAGGCACCCCATAGCCAGCGTCCCCAGCCCGCCACCCTGCTGCTGCGGAGGCAGCCTGGATGGCAGAGCCCCCACGGTGGGACCTCGGGCTGCAGCCAGGACTCCCAGTCACACCTGCGGCCACACAGTGAGGATGTGGCAGGACAGAGCGAGTCCCAGGGACAAGGCTCTCCCCGAGGGACGGCTGCTCGGCAGGCGTCCCTCACAGCACAGACGGCGGGAGAGCTGCGGGAGGGAGGGAGGCAGGACGGTGATAAGGGGCTCACACCACGCCTGGCAGCCGCGTGTGTGGGAAGAGCCAGGAAAAGGCCACCAGGGCTGGGCTCCCAGCTTACCGCCCACTGAGAGGTCCAGGGCACCAGGAGTCTGGCCTAAGATCTTCCTACGGAAGAAAACTTAACATTTCCAGCAACCAACCCACAAGAACTTCTGGAGGACAGAGGAACAGAGATGAGCAGGCGTTTTCCACGCCCTTCACTTGGGCGGCGCTGGCCTCAGCGGGCTTCACGACGGCCCGGCCACGGAGCCCGGCTCTGCCCGCTGCTGTGCGGGAGGCGCCCTGTGCCTCAGTGTAGCGGCAGGACCCGTCCGGGAGCCGCTGCGAGGACTGAGCCAGCTGGTATCGGAAAAGCGCTCCCAGAGGCTGGCACTGAGCGCTCACCCGCGCTCCTGGGCACCACCATCATCGGACTTTCACTTTCGAAAGACGGCTGGAGAGGCTGGCTCTAGTGGACGCTAAATGTCAACCTGAGATAAAAACGAGGCCGCCCGCAGCCTCTGGGGAGATCGGGCACAAGCGACTGGAAGGCCAGACTGAGTCCCGACGTCACTTGTCGCCAGTAACAACACCACAGTCAATACGGCCGGGTTGAGCAGGGGCGGGCGCCAGCCTCCGCGCTGGCACAGCCGGGCCTGCTTGAGTTCAGTTTAAGAACTTTGCGAACAATTTCAAAACAGAGCTGCTTTCTTGGCTTTCAAGAGAAACACAAATCACAGCACTGCGGCAAAACGGTAAATCAAACGGGAGGTAAGACGCGTCCCTTGTCACGGGTACCGTATGCACGGATGCCGCGCTGGCAGCTACGCCGTGGGGAGGTCGCGCTCCTACTGAGAACAGAGCCGCACGAGCGGAGCTCTGCCAGAACAAACGGTGCACGTGTGCGGATGCGGGCACCACGCCTCAGGGTGCCAGAGCTGCGTCCACAGGTGCAGGCACCCTAGGGCGTCGCCGGGCCACCGTGAGCACCTGGGGACTCCACCTGTGCCCTCCACCTGTGCCATCGGTCTTAATGGACACACAACGCACGGGCTTCACGGTGCTTCTGGGCTCGTGGCACAGACACCAGGACACCTTGAACTGATCTCGTAATCATGCTGCCCTCCCGTCGCCCACCCCAAACAACCACACGCTACGTGTCTCCCTCGGCTCCCCCCAGGCCTCCGGGCAGACAGACTCGCCTAGCGTCTCACGACATTCACTTTCCAGCCAGAACCCAGAAGGAAAGTGAGGTCTTTCAACTGTCGCTACAGAAGACTGAGAACAGCCTCCACAGCTACTGGAGGCTGGAATTCACAGGAGGCAAAACTCCCAGAAAAACAACATTGCTGCAGAGTTTAATGGAACCTGCAATCACAAACAGTGACTCTGACTCCCCACAAGTGGCCGCGGCCACACTGCTCTCTGCTGCGTGTAGGCAAGCACCTGTCCTGTAGATTGCAGACGATCACCGTGCGTCAAAGGCCACGAAGCAAAGGC